TGCATACTATGCTAATGACTAATCATATTTTTAAATAGGTCAAGTAGTCCATGGTAGGCAAAGGAAGTTTGAAGTCTATTATTGGTGATAATAGTAAGTCTATTGAAAACTGTATTACTCTATTCAATCATATTCATCGAAATATCCGAGTGCCTTCTGAATTTAAATTGGATAAAAAAACTCCGTTTCTTCGATATTTCAATGACCAGGTGAGATGATGGAACGATTCAGCGATCTATTTTTCGTAAACAGATATGCAGTGGACAATGTCTTCATTTCACCAGTTTTGTTCCTATTCAGAATAAATGTTCCCTAGTGAAATGTTTGTTCTCAAGGGCCTGCAAAATATGCACGAGCGTCCTGTAACAAGTCACTAGCGAGCATCAGATTAATTTTCTATAGTTTGATTCAACCAGATGTCACGTGTGAGGATGAATGTCCCACCAACGACATTGGTTGGGGTCGCGCTAAATCACGAATTGGTAAAAGTTAGGATTCATGGGTTGGCCATTAAATCGGGTCCCAGTGGCTGAATGGTATACGAGCCAGCTAGCTTGCCTTGTAACCAGAAGGTCCTGGGTTCAAAGGCCCTATGGTTGGTGCATACTGCCGATGATTCCCAAGCACTAGGATGAAACAGCTGGCTGTCCAGTACTTCCTGTTGGTTTTCAATGGTTCTCTAACTGATATCAATCCGTGATCAACTTGTAAAAACACAACTAACCCTTACAAACCAAACTGTAGAAAATTAATCTGATGCTCGCTAGTGACTTACTACAGGATGAAGTTTTCTGGAGTTCTAGTGAGAAGTCGTGACCAGTCAAGTTCTGATATCAATCCGTGATGAACTCGTAAAAAAAGTAGAAAATCCCAATGCAATGATGATGATGGATTTGTATTCACATTAATAATTATTAATGTGAATACAAATCCATCATCATCATCCATTGTAAAGCACTTATAATAATGTCAGGTCACAAAATCAATATTAACAACTGTTTCACAATTATTTCACCGCAAAAGTCTAATTCAAGGTCGGTTATTGAAGGTGATGGAAGTACTTTGGGGATTAATCACATACATCCTAAACTATGTGTACAAAAAACAATAGACTTCAACCTTCCTCAGCCTACCATGAACTGACTACCTGACCTATTTAAATACGATTGGTCATTAGTATGTACTTTTGTTTTTTCATATAACTGAGTAATTGTCATGCATTTTATTTTATTATGTTATTGTGAACCATGTTAATTGTAGAGCGATTGTAAAGAAACTACGAAATGACGATATCACCTCGCGAAATTCGCCTTCTAAATGCCTTATTCAAACATAGTAATTCATAATTTTCAAGCTTTACATAGTCTCTCTATCGCATAGAACACGGGCTAGCCAAATTGTGCTATCGTTGATTTCCTATACTCAGTATTACCAGCATATCATCTTTTGTACTGACTTCTAGTTCTATGAGATGAGATACAAGGCGGGGGGGGGGAGAGTTGAGAATAGAGGGGTTGGGTGTTGAGGGTCAGACAATATAGATTTAAAATCCTCATTGAGTCATATGAAAAATCGGCGAATTCGCCGAAAAGAGTCTCTTCGCTGAATGTCTTCTCTTTTTAATATAGATTTAGACGATTTTTCACATGAGTTGTTCAGATGTCTATCAACTAACTAATGTAGTGACAAGCTGACTGATTAAGTTGCCCCACAACTTACCCTACTGACAACCTTTAAAATACCCTTCTCAAAATGACAGAGCCTAAACAAGGTAGAAGAAGAATTAAGCTTTGTTGAAAAATGCCTTAAGGAAAACAGGTAATCCAAAAGGATTTATCCTAAAGTACAGCAAAGAAAGAGATGAGAAAGAGAAAGAAGTATCCAACAGTTGAAAAGAAGAAAGTGTTCATTTGCCTCCCATACAAAGGAGAAACAGTATCGCAAAAGATTGAAAATAGAAATAAAGAGATGCTTTCGTGCAGCCAAGCTAGTGACACTATACAGCACTACATGCTCTATAAGCCGATCAAAACCGGATAAGTACCCTGCTGATGTCACCTCCAACTGCATTTATAAATTTACGTGCACCTGAGGCAGCAAGTACATTGGAAGGACAGAAAGAAGGTAAGGCTTCTATCCGCTGTTTTCAGAGCATATTGCAAGAAACTTATGCTTAAAAGGAAGCAGATATTTAAAAAGTGCAATTATCAGCCACCCATCCCTGTGGATACGGGTTATTTTGTCGAGATTTCCAAATCCTTCAAAATATTAAACATACAGAGGACAGCGAATCTACTACGACTTGCTGCAGCAATTGCGATCAAACGTTTCAGACCAACCTTATGCACACAGACAGAGAGTGTGTGTAGTCAATCTCTCACTCCCATGGTAACCGTATTACTTTCATTACACTGATTAGTCATACACACTAGTGAGCTCAGCTAAGCTCACTGAGCAAGTTTTCAACTTGATGAACTTTAACCTTCTTGAGTTGACATGTTGACGTACAAGCTAATACTGTTTATTAGACTTTTCTGTCTTCTCTCACCCCCCTTTTTTTCATAGTTCGATAGCATATAAATTGATGGTAACTGAAACTAAAAATTGTAGTACTTATATTCCGGATGCGTCCATCTTATTAAGTTTTCTTTATTACCTTTCAAAAATTGAAGTATGAAATGTTATTATTTATAACCATTGTAATTTCAGGTAGTCATGTACAGCTGATGAGAACCTGTGAAATAGACTGATGATATCACTTTATACTGCAAATCTAGTTTTTCTTTCTCTATCGAAATTTATCAAGGGAACCGAATGTATGAGATTAGATTTGTTCTGACGAGTTTGTTTTTTATTTCCCCATTGTATGGTAATTTAATGAAGACATTTTTTTATTTGGGACAGAATAAAGACTGTAGGTTTTGAAACAAACTAACTTCTACACCGGTTTAAAAATTTTAAATGATATCCGTTTTTGACAACAGTATATCTGCCCATCAATATTTTATTTTCATTATCAGCTGTACAAATATGCTGAATTCTATTAGAGAACAACTTTACTAAGGACAGAACAGCTATCCAGTACACCCTAATTTCTAACTGAAGTCAGTTCGCGATCACCCCCCCTCCACTGCACATAGATCGAACGAACCTGGGACCTTTGGGTTATGTGCTCGAACTCATCGACCATACATTCCGCCACATAGACTGAAATCCAGAGATCCGTCAATTCTAACTTCTATCATCAATTCGTGATATCATGGTGCTACCACCACCATCACCACCACGAATGGCATCATCGGTGAGCATTCCCACTTTACCTTGATATCATGGACCCACCACCCTGCTACTTTTGACGACTTCCAGTAGTGTTGTCTCAAACTGGCTTTCAAGGTTTGCATAACTGATAAGATGTTATTTTTATTCTGATAAATCACACACTGTACTGTTATACAGTAATATTAACTGATGGCAACGTTTCGAGCACAAACTATTGCCACTCATAATAATATCAAGTCATTCACACAACATTTTCCTTTCATTTATATAGATGAGTGGAATCGATTAGATATTGGAATAAAAAATCAGTATAGGATAATGTACATTCAGAAATAATAATATGAGTGTTATTCACCAAATACAATCAGATGGGAAATAAGACGAGTGTTTTTATAGTCATAATAAATAACTTGTTAGAATGTTGTGATGTGATTGAATTGAAATAGAATTTTGAGATTATTTATTATCCTCCTCTGATTTGACTGACTGGTGGTAATAACATCTTCCATATCTCTGGTATTTGCATTGGGTCATCTCTGTTACATGTGTTGCGTGTAGACTCGATGAACTAGGCAGGATTCAGTAATCAACCTCTCTCTCTCCACCTACCTATATTACTTCTTACAAATTTTGACTCTGTCTAACCCACCCTACTGTGTGGTTGTCTATTAAGTCATGCAGTGCGATTGCTGAGCTTTTTTCTAAATTACTTATCTGTCTTCTCGGGGTCAACCATTCTTACCTTAGCCAAATTCTTATGTTCCGACAATCTGATTATCCCCGATCTACTAGTTTGACCTATGTAGTTGACCTCACTCAAAGTCATTGCAGGGTATTTTGTAAATTACATTATTTTGTCTAATTGGGTCAACCTACAGGGTCCTTTAACCTACAGAGCTTGTCCCTGATTGAGTGAGTTTGTAGGTTTAAATGCCACTTCAATTCCTGCTTTATTAAGGATCCTACGTAATGTCTCAGATGTCCTCTCCTTATATGGTATAACAGTAGATGCCTTATATTCTCTCTTATTTATGTTATCATTATTAGTTTCACCATTATTTTTCCTTTGCTTACGACCTTTTTTGATATTCCTAATGAATTTTATAGGATAGTTAGTTATTTAACACAAACGCTTCTCCTTCTCTCTGTTTCATTTCATCGTTTAGACCTTCTTTTGTGCAACTTAGTGCTATTGTTCGGTTTGTTAGACACACTTAACTAAGCCAGCATTCACAGACAGACAGACAAAGAACGGATGAGATGAATTAAAGAAGTCTAAAAATATCTGTTAGCAGTTTGCGTTGGGACAGGAAACCATCAAATGACATCACTAGACAAGCCATTGCTCGAGTGGAACCCGAAAGGGAAGCGGCGAGTTGGTCGTCAGTGCGAGGCTGGATGACTTGGAGGAGGTGATGAAAACGTGTGGGCAGACTTGGAGCCAGGTGAAGACTCTAGCAGAGAACCGAATGCAATGGAGACGCACGGCTGAAGCCCTATGTTCCTCTAGGAATTAAAGGAAACAATAATAATAATAATAGAATGCGTTGGCCTCAATTTTATAAACGCTAGTCTAGTGATCATGACGATATCCACATTTGAAAATAAACCCCAAAATCCTCACAAAAAACGCATAATCTTAATAATAATAATAATAGTAATAATAACAAATAAAGTCGAATATAGCATATATAAGAGGAAGAAGAATAGATAAAACTCACTTGACACCACCGTTAATCGCTGTATGTGGATTAAATACATACAATGGTGCATAGGGCGACGGTATAGGCTTTTTTATAATTGGTATTCCTGAATCCATTACAACAACCTTCAATGAATCTTTATTCACGGGATTATTTCTTGCTGGTGTCGTTATTGTTTTCGTCGTTGTCGTCGTCGTTGTTGTCCTTATCCTACAGTCAATACCACTGCTACTTTGATTACTGTTTGTATTGACAAGCGGGGAAGTTGTATTATTATTATCATTGTTATTATTATTCATGATACAATTTCGTTTAGGTGCATTTAAGCAACGAGCTTTCAAGTGATTTTTATCATAGGATGAACATGAAGGTGTTTGATCGCCTTGTAAAAAATGCGGATATTTATGAGAGATAGGCGAGGATATTGAGACTGTTTGAGTTTTAGATGGTGATGATAATGTTGGTGATTGGACGGAAGCACTTCCTGCTACAGTATTACTATTACTAGTCATTGTCGCCATAGAAATCAATTTAAAGATAGGAGGTTGAATAGGTGGTGGTGAACACACCGGAGATGCTCTTCGACGTTTTCTACATAATAAAAGAAAGAGGAAAAGAGGGGTGTGTGTATGTGCAAGTGTGTGGGCGTGATTATACACAGTAAAACAGCTTCGTGCGCCCTTGAAATACAAAAGCAATCTGATAAAGTACTTGGTCTGCCACAGAGCAAGAGCAATCTGCTCGGATAAAAATGTCTTGATGAGGAACTGAATAATAATATTATTAAACGGTTGCTAAGTGAAAATGGCTGCCCAGAAAAGTTTATTGATAAGAAATGTGAATCTAAAATCAAAGCAGTCCAAGGTACCAACAGTTCCGAAAAAGGAAGGCCTTATCCTTACAAATGCAGAACCTTGGGGACAACATTAGCGAGATACTACCAAAGACTGTAAAATACCTGAAATCTTCACCTTTTTAAACCAATTAGTCTTTGTCAGTCTGTCTGTTTTCAACATAGAATTTTGCACAGATGTGCAGCAGTTCAAGTCACCACACTCCCTCCTTATAGTACACAAAGCAAGAGAAGAAGGTAGAAGAAATGAAAACTAGAGACAGTAGAAAGAGATATGAGACAAAAGGAATAGTAATAATGAAGAACAATGTAGTTTTATTGGAAATTATAAGTCACAAGGAGCGGATGCATCTGCACGAGCCATTGAGAACGATTTTGAGCCATATCACCGAATGTTTACAGCCATTGGTTTTTACCATCCCGAGGACCCCAACCAGGCAGTCTACACCTTCCTACGTGACTGGCTGGCTTAAACTAACTGTTGTGGATTTCATTGACTGACGAAGCCATGTTTTGGTTTGACCGCCGCTAGCTCTTTTTCAGCCTGACCCTATGTCAGCTAACATTGCCCGTCGGTCGAGGAAGGCGATGACTAGGAACCCCTACGTAACACAAGTCCTAACCATATCAGTCGATGTAATTTCACAGCCTCGTTGATTGATTTCCCCTCCTTACCTGGAACTCGACGCCTAACCTCAATATTGCTCACCTTATTATACCACTTCACACGGGAGACAGAGAGCAGGCGCCTATGATCAAAGACAGCTAGCCAGCCTTTTCATGTCTTCCACCCTCAATGACCAGGTCTCACAGCCATAAAGGAGGACGGAGCGGACTGCTAAGCAGTACACACACCCTTTGGTCGATAGCCAGTCGGATATCACGTCTGCCCCAAAGACGGAGTAAACTGCCATATGCAGAACTAGCCTTCTATATCCGTACTGAGATTTCGTCAAAGATCAATCTGTTGGCACTGATTGAAGCAAATTCCCAAATAAGTGAAGCAGACAACGTGCTCTACCACTTCACTCCCTATTTCTAAACTAGGAGTCAGTGTAGTCCAGTCCCGTAACATCATCTTACTTTGACGAGAGTGAATCGCATGCCAAACATTAGTAGATTGCAGCTTAAGGTGTTCAGAAGCCTCTGCATTTTGTCAGTGTCCTGGCCTAGAAGGACTATATCATCTGCACATTCTAAGTCAACGAGATTATTCCCTGATGGTAACAAGTCAATCCCTGAGTCGCTAAAGTCACTTATGGTTAAGTCCATTAGCACACACATCTATGATGAAATTGAATAGAAATGGGGATAATGGGCATCCTTGACGGACATCACTAGTCGTCACTACTTCAGATGACAACTCGCCATAAGCCCTCATCTGGCTGCATGAGTTCGAGTAGAGTGCCTTAATCAGTGCAATGTATTTTCTCGGCATTCCCTTTACAGCTAAGCCTCACCAGAGGACCTCTCGGTCGATAGGTCAAGAAATATAACGATTGTTGGACGCCGGTAAGAATGCCTATGTTCTAGAATCTTTCCAAGGGTGAAGATATGATCAATACACCCTCTTGGAAAACCATCGAATGGAGTATGCATAGCAAGACAAGTTGGGCGTGGAGGAGATCGTATGAGGAGGAGGAGAGGGAAATGAAAGCTGGTTGGTTAGAGGAAGTCATGGAGCCAGATTCAAAGAAGACTGAAGAGAACAAAGTGAAATGGGGATGTGCACCGGACTGTAGTCACCCCTCTCCCCTATGTTCCACTCGAAACTTACGAGAATAACAATACTAATAGTACATAGAGATATATAAATTTTAAATTGTACAAAGGAAATGTGTCTGTTCAACTAACTCACCTTGACATTAATAATGCGCCTAATTCCTCACCATCATCATTATTATCCCCTTCTATAAAAGTACTATCAGTTGCACTGGATAGATTTGGAGTTGTTTCCTGCAGAAATTCATCTCTGCCAAGAAACATTGCTTCTTCATCAAATATTTGAGGTGAATCAGATAGTGGTTGAAAACCAGAAGAATGTCGAATACGTCGAACACTACCGCCACTACCACCGCTACCACTGACACCACCACGACGGCGGCCACGTCGACTGTTCTTCATTGTTGTCGATGAATGATTATCTTCAATTGTTTTAGATGTTTTATTATATGCAGCATTACATGTTCTACGTCGTGGTGTTGACTTCAATGGAGAGTCTAGTGTACTTATAGCGCGTATAGGTTGACTAGCTGGTTGTACGATTGGTTTAACAATAGATAATGGAGGTGTGACAATAGGGATTTGATCAAATCTATTCGTATCATCTTTCGGAGTTATTGTTATTGTTCCTGTAGACAACAATGGTGATGATACTTGTAGTAAATGATCATTGTTTGGCTTTGTTTTACAACTTGGTGTAATGTTGAAAATGTCTTTTTACAAAGAGAGGGAGAGAGAGACAAAAAAAGTAAGAAAATGTAGTAGTTATGTGGTTAACAGTTAAGAATAGAATATGCTTCTTAATCCAATACACCACCCCACACCCCCGGATACTGTAATCAGCCGAAATATAACTTTCAAGTTTTGTTTTGTATGGGATTTAATTGATTTCAAGCTTGATCACGAATTGACATCGGTTAGAGAACCATTGAAAACCAGTATTGAACGAATGTTTCGTCCCTGTTTGTGACTCTTCAGCACTACGCAACGATTACCCTATCTACACCACTATGGAACTGTGGTGTCCATTGGTTTAGGCGCTGCACTTCTATCCACCAGTAGTGGGTGGTCAAAGGTTCGAACCCTTCACCTAATGACTTTTGGGTGACTCTAAACTATACTAGCATAGAACGAAACTACCTAATAAAGACCTTGACAAATCCCTATCGACCAATCAGATGCGTGTGAAGCAGAAGCGCGTACTTTGAAAGAGATGTCTACGTAAAAGTAATGCAATGTTAAAAAGTAGTTACATAGAATAACTTCTTTGTTCATGTCGTGAGAAAACCTCCCAACATACTCATAGAGGTCCTCATAAATTCGTTGAGATAACTGTAAATCATCGTGTCTCTTGACCCACCCATTATTCACCGCTGTGATCCTCCTTTTTAAGTGACTCTAAAAACTTTCGATGGAATTTGTGTGGGTCGCATCGAAGGGATTAACGAAATCGTTCACATTACTATTGACCACGTTATGAATATAGACCAGGGATGATAGCTGCCTATACGTTTTCTCTCTCTTCCAGTGAGCCTGCCGTCTATGCAGCACTTAAATACTAGATTTCGGATAAAATTCCCGGCAAAGTTAAACTTTAAGCACCACCAACTACCCGATCGGCGAGTGACCTCGAACGCACCAATCACGTGAAGGAGGCATTTTCGTCTATGGAATACATATATTTATGAAAAATATGCACAGGAACTGTATACAAGTGGTACAGAGGATACCTTTCTCTTACATGTGATAAAAGTAGCTCCCAGTTTTAGGTTGGAGTATCAAGAGAGTACACTTCTATTGTGGGCAAAATTTATTTTGATAAAGACTCACAGTGTTATGCAGTAACATTTACTGGTCAATAAACTGTGCTCGAAATGTGGTCATCAGTAAATATTACTCTATAACAAACACTGTGACAATTTAGCAGAATAAATTTTACACACAATGGAATTATACTCTACCACCACAGTGCACAAGTTATATTCTTATATCATCAGCAGAGTAACTTAACCACATTCTATGCATGTAATTATTTGGGTCTTCTAACCCTAACAACAAGTCTAATCTTTCCTAAAACTAACCCTAACGTGAAAATATCCCTAAGCTAATTCTAATCTAACTTGAACTAACCTTAATGTCACTTTTAGTAGGTTAACCTAACCCTAACTTGTCCTTGGCCTAAATCGTAACTTAACCTTTCTAAAAGCTAAGCTGATACTTGCCAGATATCCCATTTAATAATCTAACACTTCAATGAGCGTGTTTAACTTGCTCAGTGAGTGTTTCTAGGTTGTTGGTGCGGTCGCACGCCATTGGTAGTTAGCGGTACTTAAAGATTAACCTGGCCAAATTCGCTACATAATTCGTACACAGTATCCATAATTCTGTCTATTTATACTATGGAGTCATCTGACTGGTTGCTCAAGGTCATTCATTCGTTTATTAGGTAGTTACGCTTTGGGCTACTATCGTTAGTGTCACCATACATTCTATTCATTTTTTTCTTTCATTGACGTCAGGTGACCTATTCGAATCTCACTGTGCTTACTACTTTAGCCTAGGGAACTACTATTGATTAGTATCATTAGCCTTCATACACTGTAAGTAGGTAGGACTTGCAGCCTTATTATGTAGGTATAAAAAGTCATATGTATCCACAATTTATCTCACTAGTCTGTTAGTCAGATACAAAACAGATCACATGTTGTCGTCTTATGATAGGAATCAACCAATCAGAATCCAGCATGCAGATTTCGGCCTACTATTCGAAGCATTGTGATTGGATGAAAATACACCAAATATCTTTGTAATCTTAGTCACTTTCTCTCTCTTTTTGTTTCGGAAATACATGTATGTTCCCAGGTTAACTGTGTGAGTGTCTTCTGGAATTTACTAGTTTCGGGTCAGAGAATAAAACGACTAGAAAAATTATCGAGCGTTGATTGACATCAGTCGGCATTTCTATTCACACTCGGCGACATTGTGACATATACTCTTGTACATTTCTGCTTATATTACTGTTCTTTCGAATCTCTTCTTTCCTCTCCTTTCTCTATCTTGGCGTGTGGTAATTTGAACTACTGAACTTCTGTGCAAAGTTTTACGTTGAAACCCATCTCAAAAGACCTTTGATGATATTAGATGAATGGAGGCAATCGTCAGGATGCTTTGGACCTAAGTTTCGTGCTAGTTGGCACTCGTCAGCAAGGCGTATCTGCAGCCTTGAAGGAACTCATGTCCCTTCTGAGATGCGAACCCACGTCACCCAGTGCTGTAATCGGAGACGTTACCACTAAGCTATTCGAGCTCGCGATTGAGTGAAAGACCTTATAGATTAATGTCATATTTTCAATTGATCTCGCTTAATTTTGTTTTCCAGTCTAAATCGATATCTACTACTAACAATACTAGTTGAAGTTCAATGGTTTAGATGTAGTGGAGAAGATTTGTAGCTTAGGTGGATGATTTTGATGTGGTTGTGTCCTCTGAGCTAACTGGATAGTTAATTTGCAAAGCTTTCATTGCCCTACTGGGCAACATCTTTAGTGCATACTTCAATTTGATGAAGTGAGCCTTTAGATTACAAAAGAATGGATATCCACGGAACTCCACCTCAAAAGACATCTACCCCCCCAAAGCCAACCTACCAAATCAAAGGCTTCCAAGGAAAACACAAAGAAAATCGCCTTACCATATACAAAAGATATCTCAGAAATCCCTGCAAGACTATTCAAAGTTTGAGGAATTGATGTCGCACACAAACCAACAAAATCACTTCACTCAGCTCTGTGTCAAACAAAAGACTCAACAGAGAGAGAAGATAAAACCAACATCATCTACAAAATAAGTTGCAACGACTGAGAAAGCACTACATTCGCCAAAGAGGACGTCGTCTTCGTATCCATGAACATAAACTAGCGGTCAAAAGACATGAAATCCACTCCCTGACTCATATCGCTGTATACAGACAACCACGGACATCAATTCGACTGGGACAACCAGCGTTCAAATATTACACAGAGGAAACACCAAGAATATCAGAGAATTTTTAGAAGCCTGGTATTCCAGGGGATGGTCAATTAATAATAGATACATTGACATAGACGAAATTTACCAATTGGTAAGAAGGAAATCTCATACACAAAGGGTCAAACTTCAGGTCAAGGGAACAATCAACACCAATACCAATAGAAGTAGCCTGGGGGATGTGAAAACGCACAGAAACAACCAATTACGATGTTCAAGGTCACCCACCACCAGGAGAGATGACTAATAAACTCGTGGAAAAATCTAAAAGCTCAAGATGTTGCTTAGTGTTGGGGCAATGAAAGCTTCGCAAATAAACCATCCAGCTAGCTCAGAGAACACAACTACATCAAAAGTTCAATGGTTGTTGAACATGCAATCAATGAAGATCTCATAAATAAAGAAGGGATTCAAAGGAAAATCAATAACACCGGGATAAGTCAATCTAACGACCACCTTTTCAGAAAACGAATAATAATCATAATAGGGCTCCTCACACTTTTCCTTCCTCCCTTATAAGAACAGGCTGAAATGTGTTCTCGTATCCATCTTGAAAACATTCTCTCGCTACGACGGATGGTACCGTACTCCACAAGAGTAGAAAAACTGAGAGATGAAAACGGAGGTGACCAGACAAAGGGGCTTACTCGAAAGAGTCGAAGGCACTGGAAATTTTAATGTCTCAGACAAAGTCATGTTCTCATTAGATATGACCTTTTTATATTCGTTAATGTATCTCTCTCACAGGCAGTGTCTACGGTTTATATAGTTTAGAAATAGGGTTGCTAACAATCGACGTCAACGAACTCCACTATTAAGTTGCACGTTCAACGTTCAATTTGGCCTCAGTAATAAGATTTATACACAGAAGGATGGCATTGCAATGAGATCATTATTCGGTTGACCTGCTGGCTGACTAATTTATGTCAAAGCTTGAAAATATTTAACTCAGTCAAACTATTGATCGCGCCTTATATTTACACAGAAGACGCGTAGACGACACTTTCGTTATCTGTGATAAGAATGTAGTGCTTGATGGTATTCTGCTTGCATTCAACAACTACCATCCATCCTCACAATTTACTATAGAAAAACAATCCGAACTTAGCATTCTCCTTCTTGTTATAACAGATCTCTTGAAAGACTCACCAACACCGAAAACGTACACTGGGTGGACAACTCTAGTGGGAAGCCGTGACCAGTAGGGTACAGCAGGTTGAATGAAGGTGAGGCAGTATCTCATCGAAGAAGACACTGCGAAGTGGTCGCGCTATGTCATAAATTGTCAGAAGTTGGGATTCATGGGCCATTGGATCGGGTCCCAGTGGCTCAATGGTTTACGAGTTCGCTAGTTTTGTAACCAGAAGGTCCTAGATTCTAATCCTGGTGGGTGCGTACTGATGAAGAGTCTCAAACCAGGACGAAACAGCTGTCCAGTACTCCCAGTTGGTTTTCCAGTGATCCTCCAACTGATGTCTTCTCATGATGAAATCCTACATCCAATCAACTCAAATAATTTCTATAACAACTGGGAAACTATTTCCAGGAAATGAAATCCCTCTGCGATAGGATAAGATATATTTGTGGTTATGTAATCGCGTTGACACGGAACTTTATCTCCTAAAAGCTAAGCTTAATAAAAAGGATTACCCCAAAACAATAAACATTCTAAACTGGTTACTAACTCAAGTTTCAAAAGAAAACCACTTTCATCAATCTGAATTTCAGAGGTGAACAACCCCTTTAGATATGCTCATCTTTCTGATACAGTCAGTAAAACGTTAATTATAGCAAGAATCCAATGGATCCCTTCACCGTTTGTGTAAAAGATAATCTACCATGGTTCGGGCGCCCCTAGATGCATTTATCAGTTCGCTTGGCCTATTAGAGCGGTATACACTGGCCGCAGCCGCATGTTGTATACGACAGCGTATATTCTAGCATGATTTTACAAGACAGAAAGGAAGGGTGTGAGAACCTCTACTCTAGAGTAATAATAATAAATATGGATGATGGGTGTTGTTGTAGAGATTTGGATCAATTTCAACATAGATTTCCTTCACGAACTAACATGAATCACTTCGAGAGATCATTGGAAACCAGAGAATACTAGATACTCATTTCGCCCAAGTTTGAAACTCTTCAGCATTCCACGCCCACAACCCCCACTCCTACACGGAAAGATAGAAACCTGACACCTTCAGGTTATAAGACCAATTTTATTGACCACTCAGCCATTCGGGTTGGGGAGGGGGATTCAATCACCCGTGAATTCTAACTTCTATCAATTTGTGATATTATGCGGCGTTCCAACCGCGCTGACCAATGCTTTCGATTCTTATCCCCTCCACCTCGACACAGTAGACACCTAATGGTCACGAGTTCTCAGTTTAGCTACGCGGCATCCATCCATCCATTCAGTAACCACATCAGTGATCTGGAGATTGATTGATAACTTAGATTATGGGTTTTGTGTGTAGGGGTTTCGCTGAAGAGTCCCAAATTAGGACGAAACAACTATCCAGTAGTATTCCCTCCCTGGTTAGTTTCCAATGATCTCTCTAATTGATTTGTTGGTTCGTGAAAAGATCTACACTGAAAACAATAATAATAATAATAATGACAATAATAACTTACTTTTACGCGGTGTTTTTATCCGCTTTGGACTCTGAATCGGTGGATTCGTCGGACCAGTAGACGATGCATTATTATGATTATCTTGTTGTTTTACTGAGACCATATTAGCTAGTAAATTTGAATTACGACGTGACAAACGTGTTGGTACCGATGATGGAGCATTAGTAGTAGTAGTATTCATTGCTATTTCATTATTATTACTATTATTATTACTATTATTAAATTGTACAGAATCTGTTTGTAAATTTGAAAATTGACTTAAACTTTTCTCCTCTTCAAGTTGACGTCGTTTCCAACGTTCAGCTCTTGACATACCAACAGATAGGCAGACATCTTTATATTCACCATGAACAGTATTGGCAGTTTGGCTGCTATCAGCATCATTCATTGTAGACAGATGATGCTGATGACTTAAACTACTATTATCACGTGATAATAATCCAGGTGGATGACCTTGAGACTGATTCATCGCGGCTAGTGTTGGTTGTGATTGACTAGCTGCTTCTTGTGCTTCAATGTACAAGAGGCTAGCTAGCATAGAATTAGCACGACGTAATCGACGCAATGGACTAGTTGCTGTCAATATCGGTTTGATTGGTGATTCATCGACAATAATTGCCTAGAATAAAGTAAAATAATTTAGAAGAATTTGAAATATATATATATATATATATATATATATATATATGCTTACGTCCCGAATCGGGGTCATGAGAAAAAAAGCAATAACAAAGCTTAACCTTGAGGAACTCAACAACCAATCACAGCAAACTTAGCGTGCGAAAATACGATTCGCCGATATATGGCTTAACTTTCTGAGAAATGGTCATAAGCAGTACAGAATAACCTTCAGCAGGAAAACAATCAATCAGAAGACGTTGCTTCTCCGTTAACAATAACGCTAAATAATAATGTACATAAAAATCTATTAATATCTAATAAAGTATAATTATATTTTAATAGTTTACACACAATGATAAGTTTTGTTATTGGTAATATTTCGAGCAAAATTACCAATAACAAAACTTATCATTGTGTGTAAACTATTAAAATATAATTATACTTTATTTGATCTAATCCACAATGCTCAAACTTTTTACTGATATTAACTATTAATATCTGTTGATTTTCTCAATAAACGATTTGTTGCTGGACCGTTGTCTTCCGTCGTTACACTCTCTTTTACTTATATAGGCAGCAAGCATCGTTCTAACTATAGGTAACGACGGCATAGATGAGAGTGTCGAAGCCAGTCAGTCAGCTAGGATCGGAAAAGCAAAACTTCTCTGCTTGCCTGCCTTAGACCATAGGTATCTGTGTTCTATCTCTCGTGTTACGTGGTACAGTAGGGTGAGTAATACTGAGGTTAGGTTTTGGTCGAGTGTTAGGTAAGGAGGGAAAGGCAATCAATGAGGTTGTGAAGCTGTGGTGAGAGCTGTCTGCTAGCCAAAATTAGTAGACAGCAATTGACGGCAATGTTTGCGTCTCGAATCAAGGTCATGAGAAAAAAAAACAAGATTAAAGCTTAACCTTGAGGAACTAAACAACCGATCACAGCAGACTTTGCGTGGGGGGATACGATTCGCAGATATATATATATATATATCACCGGACTGTCTAAAAAAACGGTAACAAAGAGATGACAGAATAACCTTCAGCAGGAGAAAAACCAATCGGAAGACCTTCCTTCTCTCCTACGATAACGTCAATAATAATGCACATAAAAATCTATAAATATCTGTTGGTTTTCTCAATAACCGATCTGTTGCCTGGCCCTTATCTTCTGTCGCTACAAAACTATATCGAATAACATGACTAGGAACATGCGTTATGCAATATTAGCTGACATAGGATCAGGTTGGAAAAGAGAAAGCTAGTGATGGTCAAACCACAATCTGAAGTCAGTCCATGAAACCTTTGATAGTTAGTTTGAGCCAGCCAGCCAACCAGGCACGGAGGGAGGTGTAGACTACCTGACTGGTTAGGGTCCTCAAGATGGTAAGAACTAATGACGGCTGGAAACAATTGGTGATATGACCTAAAAGAACCGTTTCGAATGGCGCAGATCCATTCATTCTCTTTGTGATTTCCCATATACATTAAACTTTATTGTTTTCCCATGTAATTATTCTTTCCTTCTCCCTCACAATTTTCTGCTTATTATAGTCTTTTCGAATCCGTCTTTCTGCCTTTGAGTGGTACATAGAAATATGGAAACTGGAACTGTTGAACCTCTGTGCAAAGTACCATGTTGGAAGTCAGTCAGAATAAGGAAGACAGATCTTGATTACTCTGAAATCAGTGTGGAAATTTACTGTACTGAGAAGCATAAGAAACAGGATCTGGATCTTCAGCGCTTATGTCAAACTAGTGTGTGTGTGTGTCAAGAAAAGTATTTCCAAGACATCACTTCATACTTTCCCATCAACAAACAACTAACTTCTCCAACTCCATACTGATGATCCAATATAGCAGGCCTGAAAGCATAAGCTCGACAAAGAACTCTGGAAAACGAATCAACCAAGAACCTATAGCACAAAAAGTATGTGTCGATGGAAATGGATCAGATATACACTTAGGAGACCGCTGAATGTAATCACATACCAGGCAAGTCTTAAAATGGAATCAGAATGGGAAAAGATTCGTTGAACGTGGATTCGAGGGTGAAATAGACATGAAAGCTAATGAGCAGACGTAGAAATAGCTAAAACAAAGATTGCAGAGAGTGCTGCTGAAGCCCTATGTTCCATTCATAACCCAAAGGAATCATCGATTGATGTTAGCGCCAGATCTCGAATTGACAAATTTACACATTACAGACCAATGTATTCCAGTTTAGGTGGCTGAATGGCCATCGAGCTCCGCCTTGTAACCTGAAGGTCACGGGTTTGATCCCTGGCAGAAGGGGGTAATAGGTGTACACCTCTGAGGAGTCTCAAACTAGGACGAAACAAAGCTCGTAACTTCTACATACTGATTCTTTTGTAATCAAAAGTATAAGTGATCTCTAAAGGTGACTTGTTTTACAAACTAACCAATCATATGTAAAGAAGAAAGAGGTATTCAACAACTGGCTTATATTGAATAAGTCGTTTTTATAATATACTAAATATTCATTCAGAAATAGTGCATATATATATATATCAAGAAAACAATCTTACATTGGTAAACGTTACTTTATAAAATGACCTAGAGTGGTCACATAATATGCTTTCTCGATACTACCTTTACGGCCAAACACTATTATCATTTATCGGAAGTCAAACCTGGCACATTACAAGCACCAAGAAATATGCCAAACAAGATTGTCTCCTACTTTATGCGAGGGCTAGGTTACTACTGTGCGGACGTCCAAGCCGAAGCAAGTGGTTGTCTCAAGGGGCCGTGAACACACAACCCCCCGGCCGCCGCCAGAGGGCAGTCTCAGGAGCTGTGTCCGCATGACTTCCTGTGGCTAGAACAGGTTTATACACGCTGTTTAGTCCTTTTGGATTTTGGCAACCATGTACGCCATAACGTTTAGAATCAGAGTTTCTCCAGCTTCCCTAGGTGGGTAGACTTGCATATTGACAAGTCCGGTTGTAAACGTCACACCCTGGCATTCACCCTTCCACTTTTCTGAGGAACATCTTCCGCCACGTGAATGCAGTGAATACGGGAAGCGCCTGGTTTAATAAGCTATCAAAGTTCCAATAATAATAATAAGCATATCCGCTGATCGCCTTATTTTTTAGTTACAGCATTTCATCATGAGCTGACATCGGTTAGAGAACCATTGGAAAAGCTGCAGGGAATACCGGACAGCTGTTTTCTCCGTCCCAGTTTGGCACTCCTCATCAGTACGCACCCACCGCCACGGTTCGAACCCAGGACCTCCCAACTTCTGCTAATTCACGGTATAGCGCGACCACTAACCAATGTCTTCACTGGCGAGTATTTGTCCTAACACTCGATCTGCTGTACCCTACTACTCTCTAACCGATATCAGCTCATGATGTAATCCTGTAACCAATCAATCAAATCCCTACAAAATAAACCAATACACTTGAATACCTTATTTTTAGTTTTTTCAGCAGCTGCCAACTTAGCTCTTTCCCAACGTGGATATGATTTTTCTGGATTAGGCGTTTCATGTACAGAACGTCGATGATGATGATAATAATGTGAAGAATTTTTTGAACTAGCATTGGCTGATTTAGATTCTTTCTTCAATGATGTACGTTGTGATTTACGATTAGTTTTTGAATTACTGTTATTATTTTTATTATTATTACCATTATTTTGAGGTGAAACAATAAGTGAACGTGATCGATCTGAACTTTTTGGAGTACGTGTAGTAGTTCTAGTTGTACATGATGATGGAGTTCGCTTCGATGCTGTTCCTGATGGACGTCGTTGTCTTGATGCAGTAGGCGTTGTGCTAGAAAAGTATATTTGAAGTAAATGAAATAAAATAAAATAGAATTCTATGATAGATAATGTGTAGTCCAATTTATAAATTAACTTTTCATGGGTTATAATCACATAATATTGATTCACTGTTCTGTCTGTATTCGATATAGAACTTTGCACCGATGTGCGGCAGTTCAAGTCACTACACTCCACTCCTTGCAGCACACAAAGCAAGAGAAGAAATGCATAATATAGACAGTAAACAGAGGTGAGAAACAAAGGAATAGTAGTAACGAAGAACAATATAGTTTCATTGGAAATCATAAGTCACAAGGAGTGGATGCATCTGCGCCAGCCAATGAGAACGATTTTGAGTCATATCACCGATTGTCTCCAGGACCCCAACCAGTCTAGAAGTCTACACCTTCCTACGTGGCTTAAACTAACTGTTGTAGATTTCATTGACTGGTGCCATATTTTGGTTTGACCGCCCTCAGCTCTTTTCCAGCCTGACCGTATGTCAGCTAACATTGCCCTTCGGTCGAGGAAGGCGAAGACTAGGAACCCCTATGTAACACATGTCCTAACCATCTCAGTCGATGTAGCTTCACAGCCTCGTCGATTGATTTTCCCTCTTTACCTAGCACTCGACCGATGCCTAACCTCAATATTGCTCACCTTATTATACCATTTCACACGGGAGATAGAACGCAGGCAACTATGATCAAAGACAGCTAGCCAGCCTTTTCATGTCTTCCACTCTCAATGGCCAGGTCTCACAGCCAGCCATGAAGGAGAACGGAGCGGACTGCTAAACAGTAAACCCGCCCTTTGGTCGATAGCCAGTCGAATATCACGTCTACTAAGCCAGAGATGGCGTAAGTTGGCACATGCGAGACGAGCCCTCTGTATCCGTGCTGAGATTTCGTCAGAGGTCAACCCGCTGGGGCTGATGGTACTTCCCAAATAAGTGAAGCGGTCAACGTGCTCTACCACTTCACTTCCTATTTCTAAACTAGGAGTCAGTGTAGTCCAGTCCTGTAACATCATCTTACATTTGGCGGGAGCGAATTGCATGCCAAACATCTGTAGATTGCAGCTCAAGGTGTTCAGAAGACTCTGCATTTTGTCAGCGTTGCACAGAATTGTAGCAGTTCAAAAGTTGCTACAGTCCATCTAGAATTTTAAAAGAATGATAATGAGCAGAAATATACGAGAGAAGGAATTATTACCTGGAGAATCATGAGTGGAAGTGTCAGTGTCATTGAGAACAATTTTGGGCCATGTCACCAATAGTCTCTAACCATTGGGTCTTAACATCTTGGAGAGCCCAACAACAGGCGGCAGTCTACACCTCCCTGAGTGGCTGACTCAAACAAACAGTCATAGACTCCATAAATTGATGCCGGGTTTTGATTTGACCGCCAATAAACTCTTTTCAAATCTAATTCTATGTCAGTTAACATTGCTGGACGATGAATGTGATGCCTGGGGGTATGCGTAACATGTGACCAAGACAGCTCAATTGATGCATCTTCATAACCTTATCGATTAACTACCCTTCCTTACCTGAGACTTTACACATTACCCTAATATTACTCACCATAAATTACACTATTTAACAAGGCAAAGAAATCTTCTGCACTTTGAAAAAAGAACTAAATTCGGATTGTTTAACGCAAATGTCAAGTCAGTCAGTTCTTCTATACGGGTCAGAAACTTGGCCAGCGCGTCACGGAAAGCATTTCCATCAGACAGACACTGCAGACTTTTATCAACAACTGCCTTCCTCTGACTACATATTGAAGATTAAATGGCCTGAAAGAATTAGTAACAAGAAACTCTGAGAGAAAACCAACCAAGGACCAATCGCTCAACCAAAAATATGCAGAAAAAAAGTGGAGACGGATTGGGCATACGCTAAGGAAACTGTTGGTTGGCATAGCGAGCTAGACCATCGCTTGAGTGGAACCCGAATAGGAAACAAAAAGTGTCGCATCCGAGGGTGACATGGAGGAGATCAGAGACTATGGGAAATCGGAGGTCCACACCTAAAGAGGACTGCAGAGAATAGGATAAAGTGGAGACGCTCTACTGAAGCCCTACATTCCGCTCGGAACCCAGGGGAACAATAATAATAATAATATACTGTTTAACAAGGGAAATAGAACACAAACACATTCGTATGCTACATGGTTGTTAAAAAGCGGATATTTCCTCACATAAGACGACATATTCAGTAAAACGGAAAGCATTTAATAATCGGAATCTGATCATTTCCCACTGCAATAACAACTGACTCGATAGCATAGTGACTGCGCTTAAGACTACAACCTGTACTGATCAGAACGATTATTCCAAAATGAGATGCCTCGGCATGTTTAACATATTTTCTACTCATTTCACAATCGGTGGAGCTTCACAACCTAATCTATTGACTTGCCCTAGTTACCTAACACTCCACACATCCAACCTTAATGTTACTCACCATATTATATCACTTAACATCTGTGGTCAGAGACAGCTAGCCTATCCGAGTCCTCCAATTTAAACGAGAATGTCTCACAGACATAAAAAAGGACAGAGCGAACTGCTGCACAGTACAAACGTCCTCCTTTGATCGATAGCCGCGTATTACGTCCAAAATGGACTGATGAAACTTTCCAAATTCGTGAAGTAAACATCTCGTTCAACTATTTCACTCCTTACCTTTAAGCTAGGAGTCAGTGCAAATCAGTCCTGTAGCGTGCTGCATGCCACGGTGTTCAGAAGACTCTATATTTTTTCAGCCTCTTCAGCAGTGCAGTTTATTAGGTCAGTGAGATATGCAAGTCCGACACATCCCCCTCAACAGCGTAGCAATTTATCGGTCGGAAAAATTTTGATATCAAACACACCAAATTATAAAGTAACTTTGCTGAGTTTAATTAGAATGATCGAAGGGAACAAGTTTGAGAATTTTTAAATAGTTTACATCAATAAATATATAAAATATTTTTTTAAAAAAAGGCAATATATTAAACTAACTTTGTAGTCTTTCTTCGGATTTCTCGTTTCACTGATATACGTTTAGTTGGTGTTCGACATTTACGTTTTGAACGTTGACATGTTATCAGTACTAGTTGAGGTGTTGGTAAATTTGTAGACGATCGATTTTTACTAGACTCTAGATTAGTAGGACATGAATTAACTACATCAGGTACAGTTGGTGTGGATGTTAAAGGAATAGGTGTTTCAGTGGATGGAAGTGGAACAAGTAATGAATCACTGAATAAAGCTCGTGGAAGTGATTGTCTAAGAGAATTACGTGGCTCCGGTGGCGATTGTAATACACTAGAGGATCTGTTGTTTTAAGAAGAAGATAAAAATTAAATAGTCTGAATAAAACCATTTTTGTTATTTAGAATGTTATGCAGTTTAATTTATGGTTAAAGCAACTCTGCACAATTACCTGAAAATAGTTTTAAATGTAATGTATTGATCTTTATACAGTTCGATGGAGACGTGGGGCTTACTGGTCTACGTACTTGACTTTCCAGTCAATGGATCTCAGGTTCGGATCCCGCCGCCAACGACTTCAGCTTTAGAAGCGAATGGGCAAATATCACCTAGCCCACATACACAATGAGTGTAGCCTAGAACATGAAAGATCTGTTCTACTAGAGATTAACGAAGTAAAAGGATGATCTGCCTTAACTAAATACCCTTGGAAATCATTTCAAAAGGCTTTGAGAAATACTGCATTTAATAAATTTGACATTGGCTAGTGGTCACGCTATCCCGTGAATTGGCAGAAGTTGGAATTCATGGGCTGGCTATTGGATCGGATCCCAGTGGCTTAATGGTCTACGAGCTCGCTGGCCTTGTAACCAGAAGGTCGTGGGGTCGAACCGTGGCGGTGGGTGTGTATTGATGAGGAGTACCAACATAGGGCGAAACAGCTGACCAGTACTCCCTGGTGGTTTCCAATGGTTCTCTAACTGATGTCAGCTCATGGTGAACTCTTCCAACCAATCAATCAAATCCCTGCATGTACTGCTGACAAGAAAGAGTTTATAAATGGTACATTGTGCCTAATATCTTCTGCAAGAATCTTGAATTGGGGGAAATAAAGATAAGTGTGAAACAATATATAGAAAGCATGAAATGAAGACAAAAGAAGCTGCATACGAATAGATTTGGAGAGCTAAAGTCTCAATGTAAGGCTTTTATATTTTGCTACCAAATACCAATGTGTTCTATCTTTACATAGGCGTGAGTGATGGTTACCAGTTCTAATACAGTTGACCTAAGGAGTCACCATGTAAGCCTACATAGCTGACTGAAGATGTGCTTATGAAAATATGTGGGAGCTTATTACCTCCATGTAGCCTACACCACCAAAGCTGAGTTCTTGAATTATCTGAAAAATAAGCAGCTTTACTATTGCATGAACGCAGAGCCCAGGGAACAACCCCTTTAGGTCAATCAAACAGACGGCGTGTTTGAAATGGTTTTTGGAGTTGTGTCCGTATTAACATGTTACTACTGGCTATGGACGGCCCCATGGTAAGTCAGAATGTGAATTTTTAGGATTGACATTTTCTAACCCCACGCCACTCAAAGCGGAGAGGTAGCATAGACAGTTTTTCGCCATTTTAAAGTCTAACAGCTATCTAACAATCTTCTTGGTACGGTATAACGGTACGGTACTGATTCCAGTCAGTATAGTTGGTTGGGTCACTGAAATATGCAGGCCCGACTTTTATGTCAAGGTGGTAGCTATCACTCTGTCATAGAATGGAATTATATTCTACCACAGTGCTTAAGTTCTGTTCTTCTAGTAGTGGTAACTATCAGTCAGGCTAGTCAACAATAGCTAGAAAAGATCCATTTTTTCCTTAAATTATGACCGGATGCCGTGTTTGCTAGAGATGAGAAGGGAAGGAAAAAGGATAACATCACTCTTAATAAAAAGAGTGAAATTTCTCTATTGCGAAGGTACACGGAGAACACCAAAAATCAAGTGTACAGAGTAAAACGAAAACACTAAACCTAATTATGTCTAGAAGCCTTAACGTTTTATCGCATCTGATGCACTATAAGTCCATGGAAACTTTATACGAGGCAGGGGAATAGGATGACTGACTGACTGGTTTCAACATAGAACTTTGCACAGATGTGCAGCAGTTCTAATTGTCAAGCTCACTCCACGTAGCACACAAAGTAAGAGAAGAGAGTAAAGAGAAATTCAAAAGAGAGATAATAAACAGAAATATGAGGCAGAAAGAATAGTAATATGGAAGAACAATAAAATTTTATTGGATATGACAAATCACAAAGAGTGAATGCATCTGCACCAGCCATTTAGAAAGGTTATCAGCCATATCACCAGTTGTCTTCAGCCTTCATTGGTTCTTACTATCCCGAGGACACCAACCAGTCAGGTAGTCTACACCTCCCTACGCGGTTGGCTGGCTTGAACTAACTGTGATGGATTCCATTGACTGATGAGGCCATATTTTCGTTTGACCACCACCACTAGCTCTTTTCCAACCTGATCCTATGTCAGCTAACACTGACCGTCGAGGAAGGCGTTGGCTAGGTATGCATAACAACACATATCCTAACCATCTCAATCGGTCTAACCACAATAGGATGGAAAAATTATAGCTACTGATGGTTCAAGATTACCACATACACATTTCTCATGTAAGAAAAATAATAATCATAGAAATAAAATAAACCAACCGTTAGTGTCAATGACTTTAATCGAACGAAGTGTTTAAGACAAGATTAAATAACTAAAATGTATGGAGTCAACTTGATTATGTTTGAGTAAACAAAACCGAGGTGCAGTGAACACCCACCTAGTCCTTAACTATTAGTTTGGGTATCATATATCGCTTTGACTGCCAGAAGTCAATGTTCTTGGGTAGAAACTGGGGTGACGGGGTGGGAGAGAACAATTATCATCTGCACCCTCAGCTACAAATCTGCATTATTTTACAAATGTACTCAGCACTATTAGCAGTAATAATAATCACTTTATTCCAAACAGAATGAAATTTTCAGCATTGCACATAAATTTCAACAATTTATCTCCTTTTACAAATAAGTAAATAGATAAAATAGTAAAATCAGTAAAATAATAAAACCACAAAAACGGAGGTTAGCAGAAGAAGAATGGTATGTAAGTGAATAGTAATAATAATGCTAGTAATAAGATGTTGTTTATTTAATGATTTAAAAGGTTTACAAGTTCTTTTCTGACATTTCTCTTCACACAAAACCCGTGCTAAAAATATGGTGTGATTGAATTTTCATATTTAACCCCATACAAGCATAAATTCTTATGAAATTCTTTCTAGTTTTACTCCTAGAGAAACAAGGAGAAAGTTAAGAATAAGTTCAGGGAGGGTGGGGTGTTCAGTATCGGACAAGATGACTTTAACTAATTGCCTGCATGGTCTAAGACGCTTATCAACATTGTTAGTTAGTTGAGTCAAAGGCACACTACTAGCTATTTACAGACTTTGAAGCCCTACGTAATATAAGATAGTCTTATTTGAGAAGCCCAGGGAAGATTAAGGGGGAACAATAGAGAAAAATGGAAAAAATACACGGATTAATAAATTGTAAGAAAAGATGGGTTGAGCCAGAACGTCTCAATTTCTTTCTGTAGTAAGTCAAACAAAAGATGATTTTTTTAGACCTACAAGAGACGACAACCAAAGACTTTGGAGAAAAACTGATACGAAGGTAGTTAATAATGGACTTATTTTCTACCACAATGCTGTCAGTATTACTCTAGTGCACTGTACTGGTATTTCTTTGACTCTTCTACGTGAATGCCAGCATATTTTATGTTGGCCTCATTTTTTTAGCTTCTTTTTGAAAGCATTTACTGATCCAATTATGTCTTAGTGCTGGGAAGGATTTTACAAAGTCTCATAACTCCGTCAGGGTGTTCGGTTTTACAATGAGTGATTATGCAGAGATGGTAGCTGCTTAGCAGGACAAATAGGGGATCACAGTCGTCTTTGATCAAATGAGCTATAATTGGGGCATATTACCTCCTACCAACAATAGGTGAAATACATACTACTTAGTTAGAACGTATACAAAATGAAGCAGCATAAAATATCCGTGGCAATTGTCTTATAAGAAATTTCATGATTCCATAAAATTTACTCTACAATTCACCTTATACTGTGAGATTTGGCGTACAATAAATCCAAACTGAAGTAACCGCCATAGTATAAATCTCAAGAAAACTTAGATTCAACCTACCGAGGAGAGGTAAACATAGCGCCATCCACCTCATCAATATTTTCTTCAATAGTACGCGACTCTGACGTTGTCATTTCTGTGTCATTCGGTAAACACTCCGGCGGCTCCAAACCCAAGTTGATAAAAACATGAAAAAGTGTACGACCGAAAGCTTTCTTGTACCTTCGAAAGTAAAGAAAAAGCCACTAATTTACCTTTCCACAACTTCCAGCTTAAGAAACTTTTTCCATTCACTCCATGTTGGATCACATAAACTAAGTCTACTGATTAACTCCGAAATCTGAATTAGTTAACTAATTAGGCAATCTTCTCTGCTTACCCAGTCACTGAGTTCATGATCAGCAGACAACTCCGAATCATCACAGAGACATAGGAGGCGTGTATGTAGAACGACGATAATCTGAAATTGCAGCCTACCAAAAATTATTACTTATTAGGTAACTCACTCTCTGGAGACTTTGTCATTTCCTTCTCCAGAGGAATATTTCTCCGAGATCTGTTTGCAAGACATTTTAATATCTTTGTCTACACGCTGGACAAGCAACTAAAGACATGCTTTTAAAATGATTTAAAATACCTCTTTCTCTTCAAATGATAAAGAGTTACATATTTCTGATAATCGGGTGGTAAATTCAATTATTGTTAGTTCGTCATTCTCAACAGCATTATTGAAAAGCGTTTGAATCGCAGAAAATGAGTCACAAGAATCAGACATCTCTAATCACCAAAAATAGGAATGGAATTCACCATTACACTAATAGAACTCAAAATTATTTCAACCACTTTTTGACCTTCAAGTAACTACGCTATTCAAATGGTGGTACATTGTATGCAACGTAATTCAATGCCCCATAAGTTCAGGACTTAGCAAAGTATTCAGAAATCCTTTTTCTTGAGCTTAATGTCCAATGTAATCACAGATAAATATGATTCAGTTTTCATTAATAAAGTCGACGAACTTTTTGAAGTGAGAAAATCATTGTGGTATAAATCTATGTCGATCCATTGACTATCCAATATCCCGTATCGTTTTTACGAGCTAGTATAAACCAATTTGATTTCTTTGTGCTCGCCTCTTGATTGTGAGGTATAGGTTCTTGATCTTCGGTAAACTTCTGCGTAGCTCGTCTCGCCACTCGACTGTTGTAGCTTTGGTTGACTCTAAAAGGAGTAGTGCTGGGATTAATTATATGTGGTTTGTAGTATGAGGTGTCTTAAGACTGTTACTACTGTGAATGGAGTTGATCCTTTCACCAGTTAGTCATCCAGTATCGTCGTCAAAAGAAAAGAGATAATAAAAGATATAATTAGTGAAGTTATTCAGACTAACAGACAGAAAAAGAAATAAGAAAACGTAACAACAGTCAGCTGATTAAATTTGAAGAATAATATGAATAATATATATATATCGGTAATAATGACAATAATAGGTGTAGTTAAAGTTGTCAGAAGAGTAAGACGGGTGAGAATGTAAAGAAGTAAAACGACGAATTTAATTGTCCACCCCTGAATGGTGTATGGGATTTTAAGGGGATAGGCCATTTGGACGCAGTCCTTGTGTTGCTGCATGACTGTTCAGCCTTCGCTTAAAGGCGTCCACAGACGGTGCCATGGCTAGTTATTATTATTAAATATTTTGCCAGGTGACAGGTGTCTGAAAACATGGTTTAGAAAAGAATGTCTTTTACTCCCCGGATAACGGTGAGTAGATGCATTGCAGTGAGGAAACGGCGACATACAAGACGAAACCTTTAAAAGGCTACTTAAGGTTAACTTGCATAAATGAACAAATATTCTGATGGAAATGGGAATTATTTTCGTGCAAATTACGTTCATACCCACGAACAAGAATATACTTTTTGCCTCCGTTGGCCGTTGTGTATAAAAATAGAGAAAAGTTACTGTAGTAGTAGGTAATTCCCCAGAATTATTGGCCACAGCACTTATCACTGGACATAGGATGCTGACCCTCACAGTTTCAGTCTATTTGTTTAGCTGAAGGCTTACGGTCAAGCATCCATGCCATTTGGCATACCATCATGTTACTTTCGTTCGTGTACGTTCCCTAGCTAGTTAAGCAATCAACCTCGCACTCCAATTTTGTCCCGAAATATAATTAGGCCAACCAATCCTGGTGTTTTACTTTGACTTCGGTCCGTGCGGAACAAATACTATAGAAGTTGTGGGTATTAGACCTTGCGTTACTATACTTCGCACTACCTGTTATCGTCAACACCCTCAGAAACTAGTGTCAGACGAAGGCATCTAAGACCCTGTGATCCTAAAAGTTATAGATTTTGTGACAATAATACTAAACATAACTAAATATGTGTATATCAGGCGCACTCGCGTTGTATAACCTACACAAGTGATCGACATGATAAAGTTTGTGTCCGTTAAGTAGATATCGTGTAAGTGAATGAAAATTGTTCATAAGAAGAATATAGTAGTATCATATGTGTAGCCTTCCATTGATGTTACGAAACAGTGTGTTCAATAATTTCCCTGGTTCGTAAATTCACGACATATAGCACAAAGTATGTCATGACTTGTTTCTAAGGCCTGATGGTTGGAAATACGTTTTCGGGTAAACCATGGTGAAGAACGACTCCATAGGAATGAATGGCAGGATTACAACTCCAAACATAATTATGAAACTTCTTCAATAAAATTGATGGATACCGGTGCTCTGAACTCTTTTTCGAGGCAAAGGTGAATATTAATTCGCATGTTGCGTTTGACAATTACAACACGGTGACTATTCTCTGTCTGAGAAAAGTTACGAAAGTTTGGGCTCCGTGTGTTTGAAAGCTATTCGTTTACTTGTTGAAAAGAATGCAATCAGACTACATTTCCTACACGAATTACATGCGCTGATTATCAGCAATCCTCAGTGCATATGCACTTGTAGAGGATCAGAAAAGTTCGTTACCTCAAAAGAATATCAGCTATTTTGCTTTCACTGGCCAACGTTTCTATTTGTGCTGACTGGATCAAACTGTGGACAGCTGAATTTTCAAGAGCGAGGCTGTCGGGTTGTGGTATGATTTTGCATCTCTATATGAACTTCACGACATCCTCAAGCATCTGCAGGCGTTATCTTCTCCCTTAACTAGTTGGGACTGTGTTAAGAGCACCCTGGACAACAAGTCAGGTTAAAGAGCCAGCGGGTATCGTGGCAAAAAGATAAGGTCTGTTAGAAAAGTTGGTGAAACAAAAACCATGGGCTTCATTTCTAGTTAAAGCAAACCGAAAACCCGCTCTAGGTCGTTTGGAAAGCCTTACTAGCTGGTTTCCTAGGGAGTTGATATCTTAGTAGGAAGCTAGGTAAATAAATTTAAACGTCGTTCCGTCAGATTACATTTCAAAACCACCTTTCACACGTATCCACGTCGTGTATCTTAGAAAGAAACACTTTAATGTTCTCATCATACCATGATGATATAAGGCATATATCCACCTTAAGACATTTACACCTCCCGTGTACGACTGATAGCAGTGGTGTCCATCAATAACAGTTGCATCATTCACATATGTTGCGGAAATATAGTTGTTAAGGAAAAAATCCTAAGTTCCTATTGTTACAAAGACGCTACGAACCGATAATTACTACGACTGATTCTCGACTTTAACTCCAAAACGCCAGTGGTTGTAAGAAGGAAGTTGTATTATTTAGCAATTAAAATCGAGGTTAGTACATAGTCTGTAAACAAATGTTTTACAATAAGTATGCTGTACTTTTATTCGTATTCTTTCGTCTTCTTCCAACTTGTACACAATTGACCCATTCGTGCCTTCGAGTTACCCGCCAATGGCGACTATGGCCAATGAACCAACGTTCAATATTCACTTCCATTGACAGCAGTGGGCGTTGATAAGGCATATCCCCTGTTTGAGGTGGCACCTCCAGCTTCACCTTGAGGACATTTGCGTGGTCTAGTTGATTTAAGTTTGGCTGATTTGTTTCGTTTGATCTAGGTAGCTGCATTTGACGTGATTCTGGTTTCTGTTTGGCTTGAACTGTATTGATTTTGTTAAGAATAGTCGTCAAAAGCTGCCTCTAGGTCCGAAGGCGGTTATGGTGCAGGAAGATGCTTGAGAATATTTTTCATGTGGAAATTATAGGGTGCACATAAAATCCTCCTGTTTGTGGTGTCTCAATGATTTCTGTAGAGCTTCGTTTACTTTTTTATTTTTTAATTTTTTATTTTGATTTACAGCTTGATTCCACACCGTATTTTCAGTACAAGTATGGAATTTTCAGCATGGATATCGGTAGCCCAAATGCAGGCCGACCATAGATATCGGGTGTGCGCCGGCAGGGGATCGAACCTCGGACCATGTGCATGGTCGGCGAGAGTCCTAACCACTGTGCCACTGTGTCCATATTTGTCGTTCACGAGTGTTTCAGTAAATGTTTATGGCTATAATCAGGAACTTTCCAAAACGGTAACTGTGGTAAGGAATTTATATTTTTTTCCGCTATAGTTTCCAAGTCAATGTCTCTTTTAAGTTGCTTACTGTACTCTGTTGGCTATTCATGAATTTTTTATTGACAAGCTTCTGTTTTCATTTAGAGTGGTACCGAATGGACGCATTGGCACCAGGAGACAATGGCGACCAACCTGCCCTTCCTATATCAGTGGATATCAAAAAACTTTTTGACGGAATTATGTTTAGTCACCGGTATACCAGTTGGGTTCAAGTAGAAGATGCTCTAAGTCAGCTGGAATCAGTAATACATGTATACATGTATGACAGAGTATTCCTAGGCAACTCATACACATTGTGTAATCAAGAAGTGCATACGGGACCATGAATCTCAGGATTTGAAGTACAAATTAGTAGTCTTTCGTTGTACATATGGCATGAAGCGAAAAACTAGAGGTTCAGGTTTACGCGTCAAACCGTAAGAATTCTATTATTTATTTCTGCGGTGCAAAATACACCGGTTGCCAATCTGGCTTTCGTATACGCTACAAGGAGGACGAGTTTATCATTTCTTCCGCGAAAACAGTTCACAATCACAGATGTGAAAAAAGTCTTATGATAGGTGATCCATATTTTAGACGCCTGCCCGGGGATGAAAAGGAGAATATTGCACCAGTTGTGAAGACTACATCTGACGTTGGTGATGTTTTGGAATATGCTGAAGAGAATTTTAATAAAATTTTGACGAGCACAGATGTGTATAATTTACGTAAGGATGTGAGACCAGGTAATTGAAGTAGTTTAAAGTTATTTTTGAAGCCATGCCTTTGAGATCAGATGTTATGAGCATAATAAGGCAAAGCGGTCAGGTGGCTGAATACGTGGATTCGAATACAGGGATAACCAGCAGAATTTGCTTCGCCCTGGAATCACAGGTTCAGTTATATCGGAAATATGGAGAGGTGGTGTGTATTGACTCAACATACAATACCAATATGGACGGGTAGGTTATACGTGAAACGGTTGACAAATCTTAATCAGATATTCTCTGCTTCAGTTGGTGGTAACAGACAATATGGGTCATGGCAGGCCTGTTTTTTGGCATGGACGAGACGAGAGAGGTCATGGGATGTAGCTTGGATATTGGAACAATTCCAAAGAATAATGCAGGATACGTCCACTACAGAAACTTTCGTAATGGATTCGGCCAACTGTGAGATATCCGCCGTGCGTAATAGTCAAGTTCAGGCGAAAATCGTCATCTGTGCATTTCATGTATGCCGGGCTTTCAGCAGGAAGGTGAGGTGAATGTAATTAATACTTGATGCATTTAGACTCGAAATCCTTTTGTACGCAGGTTTTTATATCGTCTTGTTAAAGCTGCGACAC